GTGAGGGGCGAGGGCTCCGTCTCGGCCAACCCTTGCCGCAATGCCGGCGCCGTCCTAACCTGCAAACCCTAGCGCGCGGCCCGTGAGGGGTGGGGGAAAAAAATAGGACAATCGAAACCCTCAAACGGGGTGGCGCCGAGATGCGGAATCTACCTTGAGTCGCTGGTAGGAGGCGGCGCCGGGAGGTGCGGGCGTGCGCGGGGGCGGCCGGCGGCGCGGCGCGGCGGCGGCTCCTCGCGCCTGGCCCTGCTGCTACGCTACGTCCCCTGGAGCCGCGATGGAGACGGGGCGTTTCCCGTGTCTTACCGGGTCGCATCTCGCATATCGGTCAAATTCAAGGGCGCATCTATAATTCTAGTCTGGAGTGAAATGTCTTGTGCAATGAACAAAGGGCACCGATAGGCGCCGGTGCGCCGGCCGAATCGTTCGGCCGGTCCAGCCCCAGCCGTTGGATGTGAGCCGCGCAGCCTTTGGATCTGGTTAAAAAAAAACGCCCCAACAGCTTCTTCCTCGCGTGGTCAGGCCAGATCCGCATCTCTCGCTCGGGGGAGCACGGCGCGGCGCCTCCTGCCCCCTTCTGCGGCCATCCTCGTCGCCGAGCCCCACCCCTCGCCGGCCTTCCTCATCGCCGGTCCCCCGCCCTCGCCGGCCGTCCTCGTCGCCAGTCCCCACCATCCCCGGCCGTCCTCGTCGTCGCCTCGACCCATGCAACAACTCTACCTGCGACTGCAGCTCTCGACTGCGATGGTTGTAGCTCCGCCGCCGCCCTCGCCGTGGATGCTGGCTGCAGGGGATTGCATCGACGACGGCCGCCAGTTAATCAGCGCAGTTTGAACGGATGTAGCAAAAACTTCACCGGTAGTAGCAAAAAACAACTGCGGTTGCAGCAAAAACACACCGTCGTCATCGTCGCAGGGGCGCAGCGGTTGTAGCAAAAAACTTCGATGATAGTAACAAAAACCTATTATGGTTGCAGCAAATCGCCATTGCCGCCGTCACGAGGTCGCAGCTCCGGCTTGATCGGTGTAGCACAAAACTTCGTCGGTAGTAGCAAAAATTAACTAGGGTTGCAGCTTTTCCTTGTTATGCCGTGTCGTCCGCCGTCACTGATGTAGCAAAAAAGGTCGCTAGTAGTAGCAAAAACCAATAACGGTTGTAGCAAAAATCTCGTCGCCCGTCGTCTCACCGTGACTGTTTGTAGCAAAAACCGATGCAGGTTGTAGCACCGAGGCTCGTCGGTTGTAGCAAAAAAGGACCATGGTTGTAACCTCGATCCAGCAAACTTGTGCCGCGGGTGTAGTCCGGCGTGGCCGGTTGCAGCTCCGGCGTGGCCAGGTCTGACGAGGTAGGCAGAGCTCCGGTGGCGCGGAACCAAGCGGATCTGGCCGAGGACAGCCGGATCGGCTGATTCCCATGGCGGCGGCGGCCTGGGAGGCCTCCGGGCGACGACGATTGACCAAGGCAGCGGGGCCTGAGAAGGAGCAGAGAAAGAGAGAGAGACGAGCGACGAGCGACGGGGAGAAGAGAAAAAGGTGGAAGAAGACCCACGTGGGCAGGGGCCCATCCTACGTGCCGTTAGCTGAGTGGCTGGGAGGAGGCGCGCGTGGATTGGACCGGCGCAACGGTTCGGCCGGTGCCCCGGCCACAAACAGTTCCCATGAACAAAGTCACTTTGATCATTGCATATATTTAGAGAATAGCGTGTTACCTTCGTGCCACTTTTTGACACACAAAATTGCCTAACTACGTCAACCCTCCCCCCAAAATTCAGCCAAATCCCCATTGCTCGTCACCGTCGCCGGCCCTCGTTGAAGAGCATACCTCTCTTCGTCGACATGTGTCCTCGCCGAGCTGCTCCTGCTCTGCTCACCGCCGGCGTGGCTCGTTGATCCCCGTTATGCAGTGCCCATATTGTGGGTAGCCGGTCAAGCACTACATCTCTGGCTCCAACGTCCACAACGGATGGGTGTTCTACAGATGCCCAAGCATGGTCTAAGTGTATTCTAGTTTCTATTCCTTGATTATTTGCAAAGAATCTTGAATCTTGTCCTATGTCATGTATGCTTCTCATCCTTGTCTTGCAAAATGGCAGCACAATTGCAAGTTATGTGAACTGGAGTATGTGACATATTTGGTCGAACAAAACATTCTTACAGGAAATGTTGGCATCGATGTTGTTGGCTGAAGCGAGGACATGAGGGAGGAGCTGGAGCGTGGAAATGAAGCAGGTGAAGTGGAATAGTGGACAAGAGCAATAGGTTGTCCCATTATTGAATTATAATGACTTGCGTGTTAACATGAGAAGTCTTATGATGTAATTTACTTTCAATAACTATTAGTTTGTAATAGCGTAGTATCTTATGCAGCACTTGGCAGTTGATGTCGTGGTGTGGAGATGAAGATCACCACAAGGACAACCATGCATGGAGATGGGAGATCATCATGGGCAGGCAGCAGACGTGGAGATGGAGATCACCATGCGTTACTAAGGAGCAATACCATACCACACATGTATAAATTGCCTGTGATGTTTGAAGTAGGATGATCCCTCATAGAATGTCAAGTAAAATTGCCTCCCAATTGCTGCAACATCACATGTTAAGTATTTTTAGTGGCGGGACTATAAAACTAGGGTGATACTAATTCTCCATGTTCGTGTTGGACACTTACGAGCGAAGCATTGGTTAACTTGTTGTGGCTATCAAAACAGTTTTGGGCCTCGAGTCATGGAAGTTGGTGTGGGATGAGATGTCCCCAACAAACAAGAGTCTTATAGAGATACGATTAGCAAGTGTTCCTAACCGAGTAATCTAGTCTTCTAGTAGTGATGCAAAAGCTCAGTAGTTGACATGTTGATCTTGGATCTTGAATCGCCAAGTATCAACAGAGGGATGTTGATTTTAGTGGGAGTAATGTTCTTATTATAATGTTAATGTGAATTACTCTTCATCAATACATGTCTTAGTGTTTTGCATATTTCTGTTGTAGATCAATGTCAACACCTGCTCAAGCTAGTTTTGCATTGAATCAATCTTGAAAAAAGATAAATTGAATGGAACAAACTTTACCACCTAGTATAGAAATCTTAGAATTGTTCTCAGGCATGATAAAAACGAACATGTTCTAGAGGAACCTACCGAGAATATTACTACCACAACCAGGACCGCCCATCGGAAACTCATTGATGAATCAAACGAAATCCTCTATCTCATGCTGATTTGTATGGAGCCTGATCTACAACAATTGTCCAAAAATATAGAGGGTTTCAATATGATCGAGAACCTCAAGAGTATGTTTCAAATCCAGGCTAGGACTGAAAGGTTCAATATTTGGCAATCCTTGATGGATTGTAAGCTGAAAGAGGGTGATCCACTGAGCCTGCATGTGATCAAGATGATCGGGTACATGAGAACTTTGGATCAGTTAGGCTTCCCACTTGGGGACGAGTTGTCCATGGATACAATTCTAGGTTCTCTTCCAGGTAGCTAAGCGATGCTCATCTCGAACTGCCATATGCATGTCATGGAGAAGAAGCTCACTGAATTGCATGTGATGCTAAAAGTGGCAGAGCAGGATATCAAGAAAGTCACGCATCATCAAATGTTGATGGTGCGGAACTCAA